TTCGAAGCTATCAGAGCATTTTAAGTTTTGATTAAAACGAGCATAAAATTTTTGAAAAGGGTATAAAAATATGGCATGTTTTAACTCAAAATTTCATAGGTGCTCTGCAGCATTCTTTGGTATCATAATTATTACTAGGTTCACTAACAAAATCTATTTCTAGATTATTTTAACACTTGCTGCGATTACAAAAAATGTCTCTTTATGTCAAAATTAGAAAAAAAATATTTATAGGAATAAAGGGCCTTATACACTGTTTATTATATGTGATATAAAAACAAAAAAGCATAATAAATATTACAAACCTTGAGATTCAACATATCCTAAGCATTGTGCACTAAAAATTTCATTTTTGTTAAATACAACAGCCACATCATAAGGTTTTTGCTGTACTTTATGTTTAGGTGTAATTTGTCTCCTTCTCTCTTATGGAAAAAGTAAATATCTCCATATTCTTGCTTGGCAGATCTAAAAATAAAACCTGAGCTAAATATGTTTTACTATAAAGTGTATTGCTTCATATAAACTGTAACTACCTACCATTAAAACAATTTATAAATAAAGTTTTACCTTTCTATCTTTTGTAAACTGAGTATTGTTAAAAAATGCAGTAATCATCTCGGTAATCATATTTTCGTTTACAATGGGAAAAATACTTGATTCAACTTTTATATATACAGCTGATAAATTCATATTCTTCTTCCTTTATATATCCTATATCCCACAGGATAATTTACCCAGATAAATTCAGATTAATAATAAACAGACTGTAATAAAATTAAACCAAAACAAAAAACTAAGGTTAGTTGTTAGGTGCTGTCAATTTTTAATGTCACTTAGATGTGCGTTCACTTCGACATTCTGTATGTAGGTTTGTTCGTTGGCTTGGTTTTGTATAACAAAATAAACTTCGACACAAGCTGATTGGTCTATTCCCGATGACGTATAATTTCAAATTTTAAATTTCAATTGGGCTTAATTTAAAAACTTTTAGCTTTTTTAACGAACTGATTATTTAGAATAACTTGTATAGCGACTAACTATTACAATATAGTTTATAAAACAGCATATCTCACATGTGAACATGGCCCATTGGAATACCTTCTCCTTCCTTGAAAGAACCTTTACAAACCTTACTGTGCTTCAAGATCCGGCTCTAGGGACCAATGTTTGAAAGTTAGGTTTTGCAGTGCTCTGCAACAGTTAGTATCTAGCCAGTTCATTCCTATATTAGATGGATATTGTTTGAAAAATCTCCTCTATACACCTAAATCACACATATTTGTCTTGGTACAACTTGTGCGTGATAAGATTTTTTTTACAAGATTCAAAGCTTCATCCAAAAATGTATAAACATATGATTAACGGAAAGGATATAATAATTAAATATCAAAATCCAATATAAATTAAATTGAAACATACAATATAAAAGTATCAAAAGTGATAATTATAAATATAAAAAAAAATAATAAAATTGGTAAGTGGAGTGTTTACTTTCAAAGAAATATATGGAAATCTCATAAAAACCGAAGTTGTGCATGGGCTAAGAAGCTAATATAACAGATATTCTAGATTGCAACCTTCTTCTACTTCGCTAAATTAATCTGACTTTTGTTCCATAATATTAACCTGCTCATTAATAAACTTTCAACATGTTTTTAAAGTTTTTCAAATTTTAGATCATTTAATAATCTCTAAAATAATATGTGCCATAAATATTTTTTAAAGACGGGCATTTTTAAATGTACTTTTTCTCTGAATTTAGGCACTTTTATAGATTTCTTCTTTATAAATGGAATAACTTCTGGAGCAATGTCGGTGGAACAACTTGAATTTTCTGATCATAATTATAAATGTCTTCTAGACTGTCTTTCACTAGATTCAGTAAGAGGTAAATTTTCCCTAAAAAGAATTTTTAAATATTTAGAAATGAAAATAAAAATTATTTTTGGCTTTAGCCATCCTCATTGATAATTTTCAGAAGATACAAGATACTCTTTCGAGTAGTTTATATGCAGGGGCTGGTAACTCAAATGGAAAAACATAAGGAAGGTAATTTAGTACCACTCCAATTAACGGGATGGCGCTCGTATCGAAATGTTAGTTGCCAGCTCGTCAAAACTTCAAACTTCAAATTAAAATGGCTATTGCATTTAAAGGTGTATTGGATTTTGATTCATCTATTCATTGGACTAACTGCTTGACACCCTGCTTAACTGCAGATATCGATGCACAATAGTGAACCTGCTAAGCTGGGCCGCCACGCCGCCCCATAAGTTTTATTGTATCAGTATATTCAATGTTATGAATTTCTATAAGGGTTAGTATTTAAGTTTTTTCCATATTTAGAAACAAATAGTTGGCTTCGCACCAAGCTTTGATTTTCTTAATGTCGTCAGCAAATAGAGTGAAAGAACTTGCAATCTTAAGAAGAGTTAAGTCATTTATGTCAAGAAAGAATAAAATGGAAATCAACACAAAACCCTGAGTGACGCCCCAACTTTTATCTAAAACATGAAAGTCCGTAGTAGTTCTTACCATTTGCTTAAATTCTGAAAGATAAGTTTTTATCAGCGCTTTGTCTTAGATTCCGGAAACTCAAAGTTTTTGCAACAATATTGTATGATTGACACAATCAAATGCCTTATTCAAATCACAGAATATATGAGCTACAACTTCATTAAAATTAATTTTAGAGTAAGCAAGTTCAAGATAAGAAAATATCATAACAACAAAAAACAGGCGGGTGGAGGTGGCGATCCAGTCCTGATAATTGACATAGGCAACCAATAATACATATACGTAATGTCCGATGAAATTTCTCTAAAAAGCCCGCATGCGTTGTTGTGCCGCTAAATATCGCAGAGCTGTGCCATTTTCGATTATGTTTGCAGGATCGTGTAGAGCGTTCCACTGGCGGAGAGTTCTGTGATACATTTTTAATTGGGATCAAGTCAGGATTTTTTGCTGGCCATCACAAAATATGTATGTTGTTTAGCAAAGAAATATTTCATGCATTTTTTTTATTAAAATATCAAAGCGCCATCTTCAGTGCCTATTTTCAAGCAAAAGACATCCACTAATATCAGTTGTCATCGTTTGTTCATTAATGAAATCATGGAGACTACACAAGGAGCACGCACTCCATGTATAACAAGCGTACTGTGTTAAACAGAGTATTTTAAGAGGGCGCTAGTGTTCCATATGTACCAAAATGGCATAAGAGAATGAGGCGGTAGTTTGAAATAAAATAAATAATTCTAATTAATTATTAATTAATTAATTATAACTCTAATTATATTTATTTAATTTAAAAACATTTGACACGTGTTTACGTTAATTAAATAATCGGTTACTTTATTTTCACGCTAACTTCACATTTGTTTATTCCTCTATATTCACACCGGTACAAAAGAAAAATTAGCGACGCTAGTGGTGAAAAAAGAAAGCTTTATTTATACGATAAAGCGCGGACATACTCTGGCAAATGCCACACTTGAGTGCGTGCTCCTTGTGTAGTCTCCATGAATGACATATTGGAGAATCCCACCTTGCTAAATCATTTTATTGAGTTGTTAATTTTAAAGTTTTAGACCTTTTTATTTATTTAACCATTTTTGGTCAAAGCAAGGTAAAGACCACCTTATACCTTGACGAAAGAAATTAAATTAAAAAAACGTCTATAACAAAATTAAAATTTTAGCAAAAACAACTCAAGTAGTTTTGAATTGATTTCTATTTAGGAGAGTTACATTGTTTTTTTAGTATGATTTCATCTGTGACGTCATTTTGTTTAATTTTCTTAATAACTGCTAGAGAAAAATTAGAATGATTAATTTTTGGATCTGTATTTAAACGGACTATCTTTTTCAATATAATATAGGGCGTTCCATTTAAGAAATATCTACTAAAAAGCAATACAGAGCTAAGGTGATTAATTAATTTTTCTATTTTAAGGAAATTTTATTATATAGGTAGGTTTTATGAATATTATGCATTTCTTTTGCGACATGCTGTATAAATGTCTATAAGAGAAGAATTGTCTCAATATAACTAATACGAAATACATATAATAGCCAAGCAAACTTCTAGTAGTATGTACTCAACTTTTAATGTTACTTAAACCGCAAAAAAATGTTTCTAAAGTGGGCCATGGCTGTCAAAAACAGAAATACCAGTCGTATCTGCGATAACTACGCATGGCTCTGAATTAAATCCTGAATTGCGATATACTTAAATTTTTTCCAGGCCTACTTTGAGACATTTTGTTGGATCACTCCATACAAACTCCGTTGATTAAGATTCAAATTAAATCTAAGGATATTGAGACATCTCCAACATTCTGGTGAGTTGCTTAGGCCAATGATTTGCCGGTGTTTGTTTAGCGTATGTGACAATAAAAAATACTTATAATACTGAAAATCAGAAATTATATATTTTACTTTTCATTAGGCTACATCTAGGTATTCTAACTCAGAATCTTTGTGAGGTAATGTAAACAATCAAATGATTGAACAAGTTTGACTCCCTCCTTTACAACATACTCCAGTATATATAGATTGGGTTTTTGATAATCAGTTTATCTAAAACAGACTTTGAATTTGTACAACAATTAAATTTTTTAGAGTCGACTTAATTCACTATTATTTTTTAATAGACTAGGTGTATTTTTATCGAAAATGTAATGTACATAAGTAATTTATTTGGGACAGTTTAAATGCCCGATTTAGGAAATTATGTTAAACTTGAATAGAATATTGTATTTTTATAAAATAAAAGTGATCAGAACAACGATCAGAAACCAGTCACTGACACCAGGATTCTGCGCAGTAGATTATTGGGACTGCGAAATTATCTACTGCGCAGTTCCACCATTCTAGTCATGGGGTACTGTAGACGGACTATATAGGATGATAGCAAGGTGGTTCCATGAAAAGAAATGCCCAGCTGGTTTCTTGGTACGTTATTTTTCCAGTAAGTAATTGACATTTTTGTTACAGGTTGGCTTCAAAGGTTTCGCAATCCCACCAGCTAAACTAACAACAAGCGCTAAATTCATATACGACGGTTCTGAATATCAAATAGGCCACGGTAGCGTCGTCATTGCTGCCATCACTTCTTGTACCAATACCAGCAATCCGAGCGTTATGCTTGGAGCTGGTCTATTGGCCAAAAACGCAGTTGCTGCAGGACTTAAAGTAGCTCCTTATATAAAGACGAGTCTGTCACCGGGATCCGGTGTTGTTACTTACTATTTGAAAGAATCTGGCGTGATTTCTCCCTTAGAAAAACTTGGATTCAACATCGTAGGTTAGTAAATATCCTAGATCATGTTTTGTTTTTGAATATTACAAATAACAAGTGATATCCTTTAGGTTACGGTTGTATGACGTGTATCGGAAACAGCGGCGGCATAGACGAAAACATAGTCAACGCCATCGAAGAAAACGATCTGGTATGTTGCGGTGTCCTATCGGGTAACCGTAACTTCGAAGGTCGTATCCATCCCCACACCAGAGCCAACTACTTATGCAGTCCACTCTTGGTTATCGCTTACGCCATTGCCGGTAGGGTAGATGTTGACTTTGAAACCGAGCCCTTGGGACAAAGATCGGACGGCAGTAATGTATTTTTGAGGGACATTTGGCCTACCAGAAAGCAAATTCACGCCGTGGAACAGAAAAATGTAATTCCTGCGATGTTCAAAGAGGTTTACGCCAAAATTCAACTAGGTAAGCCTTCGTGTATCTCTTCAGAATATGATGATCTTCAATATTTCTTTCCTTTTAAGGATCAACAAACTGGCAAGAGTTAGAAGCTCCTCTGGGCGAGTTGTATCCATGGTCGAGTGCTTCTACGTACATTAAAAAGCCACCATTCTTCGATGTTATGACTAGGGAGCTGCCGTCCAAGAAACAATTGGAGAACGCTAAGGTTTTATTATTTTTGGGAGATTCAGTAACTACAGACCACATCAGTCCTGCTGGATCGATTGGAAGAACAAGTCCAGCCGCAAGGTACCTTCAAATTTTTTGTATATTTAATTTCTAATCTTTTTTTGTCAATTTATCGAGGATGTTTTGTAATATTTATCATAACGCTGTAAAAAGTTTTGTAATATTTATCATAACGCTGTGAAAAGTTTTGATAAACAAAATTTCTCACAACCTTCCGGCCTAGCTCAGTTAATGATGGTAAATTGATAGTTATGTGGTCGGTTTTTGAATATTTGTACGATATTGAGGAATATTACAAGAAACGTTTGTTCAAAAGTTACACATCCCCAACAATCCTTCGAAAAATCTCGAAAGTATGAGAAATTTTTCAATGTTCACCTACGTCAAATAAATAATTAAATCAACAAAGAAAGCAATTCTTGCATACAAAATAGTTGACTAATATAGGTATAATAATAATAATAATAATAACCCTTGGACCTCAATACGTAACTACACTAAATAGAAAAAAGAAGAAAAAATGTATGAAATGTTTAACTTGTTAGGAAGACTTTTTGTTTACTAAATTATGAAAGAAATAAAAAAATAGGAAATATCCTGTCCGTTTATTTAGGATTTTACCAAGAACCTACGACTTTAGCAAATTATAACAGTTGCTAACCTAAAATATACACCAGAGTCCAGATATAAATATGCTAACCAAAGCACCGAAACAAATGTTAACACCATTATGTCCCACATACGTATATCCTTTATATATATAATTAAACAAAAAAATATACAAGAATCCATCAAGAACGACCAATCACTTCCAGTGACAGATTTTGCCCTATGTTGGGCGTTGATAAACAAAATTTCTCACAACCTTCCGGTCTAGCTCGATTAATGCCGGTAAAATGATGGGGTCGGTTTCTAAGTATTTGTACGATATTCATGAATATTACAAGGAACTTTTATTCGAACGTTACAGTTTGACGTTCCCATATCAACACCTAACGTATTATAAATTAAACAATTCTAGGTATTTGGGACAACGTGGATTAACCCCCAAGGAATTCAACTCGTACGGATCTAGAAGAGGTAATGATGATGTCATGGCGAGAGGTACATTCGCAAATATCAGATTGGTGAACAAATTCATGAGCAAAGCTGGCCCGAAAACTATTTATTTACCGACCAACGAAGAAGTAAGAAAATTGGTTTTTATTTTCACTTTTTTCTGACTTATTGCCAGTTTACCATTAATTACTTGAAATAAGATGTTTGGATAAAATAAAATATTAGTAAATAAATTTTTGTTATAAAAGACTTATTAATCATTTTTTTAGATGGATATATTCGATGCAGCTGAAAGGTACGGCAAGAATGAAATTCCCCTTATAATCATTGCTGGCAATGATTATGGTTCTGGATCAAGTAGAGATTGGGCGGCCAAAGGTCCATTTTTATTGGTAAGTATCTAAATGCTCACGTTCTCTTAACATAATTCGTATATTTTAAACTGTATTTCACATTTTTTTAATTGTTTGAAAATCGATTCCTATGCTTCGCCCTCTGAGCTATTAAAATGAAAACAATTACTTTATTGTTTTACAAAATTTCCCTTAACCCTTAACTTAACGAAAACAAAAAATGTATTTACTGAATATGACTATTATGGATCTCTAGAATAATAATCCACAGTTAATTGTTTTTTTTTTTTGTAAATTCGCTATTACATGTTAGTCACATTGTATTCTGTAAGATACACTGCTAGGTATGCGACTAAGTAGATCGTGTCTAATAAGATACATTGCATGGTTTTCAGAAAAAATTAACTGTATCCTACAAGATCCATCGCTAGGTTTTTACTACATGAATTTAGTATCTAGACAGATACACTGCTAAGACCCAATTGTTTTCATAATTATAATTTGCACTATTTGCAACTTACAGCGACGAATAAGGGAAACATTTTTTCTTGCAGGATGATTTAAAGAATTTATATAAAAACTTACAGGCTGTTTAAAGACAACATATCAACATATTTTTATTCTACGAACAAATTACAGAAAAAAAATATAATTAATTATGGAAATCGTAAAAACAGTTTCTTGATTCCACTAAACACAGTCTTATTTTACACTTAACACATAATACTGTAGTTTGTCCCTTTGAGTAGTTTCTACATCGCTCTTTACTAGTAAATATTGGGAAATGGCCTAAAAGATATTTTCTTATTTCTTCTGGTGGAAGGTCTTTAATATTTTCTTTTTGGAAAAATTAGTTAGTTCTGCTGATGCTCTTCCCTTGGTCTTACCTCTAAGTAGCAAAGCATCTACTATTCGTGATCTAAATTCCTTTAATACTAAATGTGTTTCGTCAGATTCTAACAACCTAGTATCCCTTCTATATAGAAGCCAAGCATTATTAACACATATATCAAGTACTTGCGAAAATATGCTTAAGTACCATCTGTGACTCTTAAATGGGGTTCAATAAAGGGCGACAAGCATGTCTGCTAAATAAATGCCACCCATATGTGCATCATAATGTTTTACTATTTCAGGGCAAGGAATGTCAACCTTTTGTTATGCTTCTTTGGAAAATCGTTTAATAGTTGAAACGGGGTGGGCACTTACATAAGAACTACAAAGATGAACAGCTTTATTATCGTACCATTTTATGATGCAAATTTTTTTTTTTTTTTTTCGTTGTCCACCTTTTGTTCATAAGCTCCTCTGCCCTTCTTTTTTAGCTCACGATCTATTATTGTAAATGAACAACTTTGAAACCGATCTGCTCTTAATGTTCCCAGAGATAAGATTTCTTTCTCGTTTCGTAAATAGTACACTAAATAAGGTTAGGAAAAGAAATTGTCAAAATAGAGTACAGAACATGCAGGATCTTTTAATGTTTGGATTAAACGCTAATACCACTTTTGCTCATAAACCAAACATTTTTTCATGCATAGAAAATTGTATGTTTCTGAAAGTATCATCACCTTCATATGGTATAAAATCATAAACTAATCCGGAAATCCCACACCTAACAAAAAACTTGAAACCCCTCTTTTTCGTTTTTTTTTTTTTTTTAATATATTGCCTTCTGCTACCTGCTTTAGTATAGTCCTTCCATTATCAATTGCAGAACACAGTTATGTGGGGAATCATCAATATTTAATATATACGCACGGTACTCATGCCAAATTAAGAAACGAAAAATAATGTTTACTCCCCTTATACAAAGCGGTAAATATTAAACGAACCATCAGTTGTTTACCAATGAAAACATCGAATCGTAAACTTAAATGCACTGTATTGGCCGAAGGTTTACGGAAGGCAGGTGTTCGAAAATATTCCTGGAAGACAGTCTGCGATATCAGTGGAGTACTGTCGTGCGGTGTGTTTTGTATGTGTGGTTGGTTTAATTTAAATTTCTTTTAATAAATAATTATAAATATGGCGTTCTTTAGACCATGGGCGAATGAAGAAAATGAAATTGCACAGTGTAGTGAGATTAAAGACAGGTATGACTTTAACGATAAGGATTTAGATATACAAACACAACAAGTTATTTTAAATATATTCGAATATTTAAAAAAGGAAAATATTTAGCAGTCTGATAGTGCGTTCATAATAACAATTGCTGAATTAACTAAAGTAAATAAATTTTCCGTTTATCCGGTAGTCACGAAAGGGGTTGCTGTGGATTATTCATAAAACCGAAAAACATGTAAAGAAAAACTGAAATCAGTTGACAGAGCTACCCAAGATTTTATACGAAGGACAATTTATAGTTTATATAAGGAGAACAGGGTTCCGACATTGGAAGTAATACAGCAAAAGGTGGCAGATTTTCCAGGATACACTTATACCAGTTTGGAAACATTGCGTCAAGTTGTGTCAGCATGTGGTTTTAAACAAAAAATTGAATAAACAGATGGCAATCACCGAATCGTCAAGGATAGTTCAATGGCGACAAGATTATTTGCGTCAGATAAAAGGCTACAGTAGTTCTAATAGACACATAATTTATCTAGATGAAACATGGTTTGACAGTCACGATGTAGTAAATTTTGGTTGGGTTGGCAGTAGTAAAAATTGCTGTTTGAATGGGCCATGTTCTAAAGGGAAACGCATTATAATAGTACACGCTGGAAGCAAAGACGGTTTCGTGCCTAATGCCTTATTATTATCTGCTAAACAAATTAAAAACTGTGCAGCTGATTATCATGAAGATATGACAGCAGAATTATTTGAAAAACGGTTTAATGAACAGCTTTTACATTACATTCCACCACAGTCAGTAATCGTTATGAACAACGCATCCTACCACTCGCGGCAACTCCTTAAAATACCAAATAGTAGCAGTAAAAAAGCTCAAATTTTAGCTTTTATGTCTGAAAAAAATATTCCTATTTCTGCCAGTGATAGTAAAAAAGGACCAACAAACAAAGAATTGCTTACTGTTATTAAAGGTATAAAGTTAGAAAAAATGTATTATATTGACAAGCTGTGCAAACTCTTCTCAGACTACCTCCTTACTATTGCATATTTAACCCTATAGAGTTAATATTGGCGAACTTAAAATCAGAATTACGAAAATGTAATCAGTCTCCAGAACTGAGTAAAGAAGTTGTAGAACTCGTAAAGAAAGTTCTAGCAGCAGACCGCCAAGAGCTTTGGAAAAACCTTGTTGAACATGTTATCAAAGAAGAAGATGAGTATGTAGTATTACCCTCTTCACAACCCATCATAATTCAACCAAATGATGACTCTAGTTCAGAGGATTCAGACTGCCATGATTATTTATAAAGATACTATGGAATTGAATTGTTTTTTTTTTCTTTTGTTTTATTTGCAAAGAATTTATTTTTCTTTGAAATTTCGTTTTCCAGAAAAAGAACGAATGGGGTACGAAAAGGGTTCAGTTCACGTCTGGTACCCTGTTTAAACCAAACGCCCTTACAGGCAGGTACACTTTACTCGCTTCAGGCAGGTACACTTTACTCGCTTTTTTTACGTTTTATAATTTAATATTCAGTTGTAGCAAGTTAACGAGCTATAATGATTTTTTTTTAAGTCCAAGTAAGATTACAATTAAGTGCATCTGTCTAAATAAGGGCGTATAATAACGTCCAATTTATAATTATTCGATTTCCTTTTAACGAATACTTTCTTGCAGATGATATATATTAAAAGTATTAATAAAATAAATTTATAAAATGAGGTAGGTATCTACGCCTATGGCAGATCAAACAAAATTGTCGGTAAAGGTTCCGAACGAGTTTTTATGATCTGCAATTGATAATGGAAGAACTATACCTTTGTAGGGTATCATCATTTCATCAACTGACATTTTTTTCCTCCATTTTCAGACAATTTTCTCTCACCTTTTCCAAAAAAGGCCTAATTTTAAAATAACGGTCATTATTTAGTAGTCGATTGTCAACAAAATGTAAATTTCTTCTTATTTGCTGATATCTCTTTAACGGCATAATGTCAGCTACTTTGTTGTATCTAAGACCACGATTCCAATAATCTGTATATGCTGTCATTTGTGTTATTCCCATTAAGATTTCGATTGCAATGAAATCTTTAATTTCATTTACATTTGTTTCAATCCCAATTGCATCTTCAGCACTTTGACGTGAATATCTGTTTGTTTCTGTCACTATTATGTTCAAAATATGTTCATCAATAAATCTATAAAAATAATCGATAGGGGTAAAAACTTTATCTGGTGTTGTAAAGTTTCCTTCGATTAGTTGAACTGGGAATTCAAAATCTTCTTCATTCCATTCAGAAATAATATCTATCTTTTTAGACCTTTTCACGTTTACTTACAGATTTTTTTAACAAATCTGAAATTCTTTGTATCTTTTGCTGCGTTTGAAAATTACCTCGTTTTGCTCTTTTTACTCGAAGTCGTTCTTTTAATACATCTGTGGCTTCTCGATGGGATCTGCTCCGTGGTCTTTAATTGCAGAGCTGGTAAGTCGAGTAAGATCTATTTACTCTGAATTAAATTTTAGAGCTTGCGGAGTAAATGTAATTTCTGTGACAATTGACAAAGTAGATGTACTTTTCTGAGATGTACAGAGGTCGTTCGTTGTCTCTTGTGTTGCAGTTTATACTTTTTCATGTGTTTGGTTATTTATTAAAAATGTCAGACAGAAATGAGAGCATGGCTTATTTTCTAGTGAAAGCAAAAAGCGTAAAATACCACAGCTAAAAATTAACCTTACTTTGCAACAAAAACCACGAGACGAGAGATCAAATTTGATTTAAAAAAAAGGTTTAAGTTTGTTATTTTAATGAAAATCGGAAACGATAAACACAAACAAAGTCATATATGTGCTAAAGCGTTGGTCTCTTGTGCTCGTGGCTCATTCAGGTGAAGACCATCAATAGAGAGAGAAGAAGAATGGGAAGAAGAGCGCGCCATTCGGTAAAGCATGAGCGATGAC